ATACAATGATTAATTTAGATATTAAAATAAATTGGAATATAAATATATATACATTAAGATATATACATATATATATATATATATATATATACATATATATATATATATATATTTTTTTTTTTCTTTGCATATAATAAAATATATATTTTTTATTGACATTATCCAAAAGGTGTCTTTTAGTCACATATTTTCTTTCTGTACATTTTTCCATCACTTACTATAGATCAACGTTGTTATGTGCTCATATAAGCCCCAACGGCTTTGTAGCCTTAAAGCATGAACCAATTGTTGTCGCACACGTCACCTTTTCCCGCTCACACTTGCACTCACAGTCTCTCCCTCGTTCGCTCACTCTCGTGCGCAACAAGTGTAAGCGATCGCGCTGATGTCAGCTAACGCTGTCGTTGCGTCCGCCGCTACGCGTGCTCAGTTCGTTGGTCTCTCTTACTCCCTCTCTCTCTCTATATATCTCTCTCTCTTTCTCTGTCACTCGCTGTTTCGTTCCGCTCTTCGGTCAACGATCTCCAAAATTTTGAGCGTGTGCAGTTCAATGAACTACCGAAAAAAGCAACTGTAAATGAGACTGGAAACTGCTGCAAGCGACTGCGCGCCTGCTACATACAACAGGCGTCTGATTTTTCTTTCAATCGTCGCGTCGCGTCGCGCTGCGTCGCAACGCTTCGATCGCTGTGCTCTGGCTGCCGCAGTCGCTGGGTCAGGGGCGGTCCCTGAACGTGACACCATTGAGGGGCATTTACCTGCGTTTCATTGAACTTCGCGTCCGGGGTCAATGCGAGGCGTTTGCCCTTGCCCAAAAACTGGGTTAAACGCTGTATGCCAGGGTCCCGACCAAGACCCCGACCACGGCCTCTACTGAGGAAGCCAGGGCCAGGCAATGTATGTGGCCATCACTTTCGTTTTTTATGTAGAAATCGATAGCTTGCTTTGTTTATGGAACAGGCAAGCAGCTAAGAGCAACAGCAGCAGCAACAGAGGCGAAAAAAAAACTTGAAGCTTTTATATCAACAACAGCGAAAAGAGATTGAGGGCCAACAGTGTTGCATACAATTATCATACCCCAACATTTATATATATATTTTTATGTTCGCTGTTGCCATGCCCCTGCCTGCCTCTGCTCTGCCCTTACCCTTACCCTGACCCTTACTGTCGTCCCACTGCTTCACTTTCGCTTTTAAAACATGATCGATAATATACAGGCACAAAGTAACAGGCAAGCATGTTCGTTCAGCTGAACGACACTCGACTTTATACATATAGTTTGTGTTTTGTGCGTTTCGCCCTCTCTCTCTCTCACTCACTTTTTGTCTCTATCTCCCTCTCACGCACTTGCTCTGTCTTTCTGTTCGCTGACCTCGTTTGTTGTTGGTGTTGCTGCTTGTTGTTTTGGTTTGAAATTGAAAACTTTAACAATTGATGCGAAACATAAACAACAACTGAGTAAATTTAAATATCGTTAAACAAATTGTGTGTTATATAAATATGTTATATAATATATATATATAGATTTATATATATATATATTTTTTTTGACATCATTAAATAATATTAATAAATTTAATCACAAAATTTTGGTTATCTTTTTTCATAAGATTAAAAATAATAATAATAATATTAATATATCGTAGTTATATATGATATATAAAAAGAAAACCATTATTAATAGTATTTAATGATGTTAATAAAGTATTCAGTAATTTGACTACGATTAATTTATTTAAACTATTATTAAAAAAAATATATACGATTATTAATAATATTTGTAAAATTATAATATAAACATAAAATATTTCCCTACATGTGCTATTACTATATTATTTCTAAGCAGTATTATATATTACTAAGCTGTATTTATTAGAGTAATATAATAATATAATATATTAGTAGAGATCATACTTTTTGTTTCCTTAAGGATTCAGTATATATGTATATCTTAATAAAGACTAGACTTTTAATTTCTCTTTTCTTTTCGTTCTCATTCTTTCGTGCTTCATTAATAAGTTTTGTTCTTCTGTATATTCTAGTTTCTGTGTATGTTTCGTTTTTGTATTTCTCTAGACATACATATATATTTATACACCTCTGTGTGTGTACACACGCACACTCATTTGTGTAGCCTTGCTCATAATACGAGTATGCGGTAGTATGACGATTATTGTTGTTCGTTTTTTTTTTATTTTTTTTTTTTTGGTTTTCCAAGGTTTTCCAGTCTGATCGCTGTGCGATTCAAGGCTTCATTTATTTTTCGTTTTGTTTATTTAAGTTGAAACTCGGCGAAGAGCACTTGGTAAGCCTTCTGTTGGCCTGGCCAAAATAGAACAGCAACGGTTTCTAAATAGTTGCAGCTACTCGTACGCTCTCTAGACTATGCCACAAATTGTGCCGGCAAATACTCAACGGACCGAACTGCTCGCTACTCATTTGACGTGTCTCGTTTCTAGCTGCCCAGCAAAACAAATAGTTTCTGTTTACGCAAATTTACGCAAAGTGCGGCCCGGCTAGACCAGCGCCGGCGTACAACATGGCGTATGTGATTAGTTTTTTCGTACTATTTGGAACCGGCGCACAGCTTATGCGTGCAGGCACCTCGGCCGCTGTCTGTCTGTCTGTGGGCAGCATGAAATTTTTATGTTGATATGAAAACAACAACACGTACCGTGTACAGAGCTCGCGAGTGCCATAAAAATCAACGTGAAACAACAATTAGCATTCAAGGTTAACCAGAAATGAGCTGACAGACGCGTCGCGATGCGAAACAACGGGCCCGCAACAGTTCCCCACTTGGGGACAATCCAACAACAAGCAATTGTCTTTACCCAAACAGCAACCGGTTCCTGTCCCACCTGAAACACATACAAACAAATATTATGTAGCTAAATCTTCTTAATGTTGTCGTCGTCCCTAGACTACAAATGCCTACATACTGACCATATACTATATGCTATTATACTGCCTATACTTTGCTGTTCTTTGATTGGGGAGTACGTTTTTATATAAATTATATAAGCTCTTATTTTTTAACTATATGCATGTGTAAAGTATTTACTGCTATGCAATTATATTTTCTAAGATTTGAGACTTTAAAAAGTCTACGAATAATATAACCTAGAGAAAATATATATTTCACGGACTCCCCAAAAAATATGTTTAATACTTAACCAAAAAGGATTTAAAATAGAATTGAAGCTACTAGATATTATTATTGGTGATATATTAAATATATTACTAGATATTATTATTGGTGATATATTATATATATTTTAAAACCTATATATATTTATAAAAATATTTTTGGTTAATATGTAAGTTTATTGACCTCATTCTAAAAACAATATCAGCATACTTTGTACCTTAAGTTTGGTATACCCTGTAAGCCTAACATGAACAGACACGGTATGCTTGACTATCTTTTTGAACTCAGCGAATACAAAAGCTAGAGCTTACAAATTTGATGTACAGTTTTCAAAATATTGTGTTTAGCATTGAATTATGCTATCTAACTTTTGGTGCTCAGTCGTACTACTATTTTAAAGAACAGAGTTGTATATATATAATATATATATATAATATATATATAATACATAACTGAAATTTGTAGAAAATCAAGCTACAAGGTATCTGACCGGCATGAACACTCTCACCTAGAGCCCTTGCCCTTGCCTTTGCCTTTGTGCTTGCCCTTCCCCTTGCCCTTGCCCATGCCCTTGCTTGTTTCGCTTCTGTTTCTGTTTTCTGTTTCATTGTCACGAGTTCAACGAACCTTTGAGTTTTTACAAATCTAGCATTAACTTGACTTGACGCGTTTTCCTGCCGCCCTGATCGTCGGCTGCCGCACAATTTCCTATGTGCTTAGCCGGCTTTATGATTTATGTGAGTCCGCAAGAGACGGCGCCGCCTGCGAGTCGAAAATACACAAAGATTCACTTTCGATTTTCAATTTTACTCGGAAGTTTTTTATAAATGCGGCCAGGCGCGCAGGGCCACAAGGGTCACGCTACTCGACGATCGGGCCAAAATCAAGCAACAAGCGGGCTAAATGTTGTTGGTGTGTTTTTTTTTATCAGCTACCAATTGCTATTGCTGTCTCGCTTGCACGCGTGATGAAGGTGCGTGTGTATATCTGAGTGCATAAGTATATATATGTATTTATGTATGTTATATATATATATATGTATATACATATATATATATATATTTATATACATATATACGAGAGGTAGTTTCTTTTTGCTTGAGCGTTTCGTATGTAGCTTTAATTTTCGTATACGTCACGATCTTTGACCTACTTTTTTGTTTTTGGGTCTGTTTTCTTTTTTGGGTTGTTTCTTTGAGAAGATAATATGTGAAATGTGAGGAGAATCAATTCTGTGTATAAAATATATGATACAATTTTTAGCAGTGTACATTTTTTCTAGCTGTATATATAAATGTGACAAGATTTAAGACAATTACTCAATATACGATTAAAGTAAATAAATAACTAATAAATGCTTCATATTGATATTATTATGAGCTTCAATAATTGCTTTTCTCCACAAAACTAATTTTATTTATCATCATTAATTTACAGGGACATAATAATTATTCAGAGTCTGCCATTTCCCAGCAAATACTTAATCAGTTAATTATTTATCAAATTAACATATTTGAAAAGCATATTATGGCACACTTTTAATCGCATTTAGATTCTAATTAGGCTACTTTGTTAGATTATCGTAAGCCTATGCCCACATGCACGTACATATATACGTAAATATATAAGTATTGTGGACCGTTTTCCACACAGCTTTTCTCAAAGTTTTTCCCGTGCAGAAATCCAATGTAAGCCGCCTGGTATCATAATTAAGCTACAATAACTTGTCATATTTAAGCCCTTGTGACAATGCTTACGGGTTGCTCGACTTCCAGTGTATTTCCTCTCTCTGTCTCTCTCTGTTTTACTGTCATCCATTCATCGTCTCTTTCTTTTTGTCTCTTTACAGACCAGGCTGTTGGGCTGCGCAATGTTAACGTTCACATTCCGTCGGCCGTTAAACGCGGCGATAATGCGCTCTTAATCTGCAATTATGACATCGAGAACGACACGCTCTATGCGGTTAAATGGTATAGAGGCCGCAGGGAGTTCTATCGCTATACGCCCAAGGAGAAACCTGCCTGGAAGATATTCACGAAAACCAACGAAATTGATGTCGTGGTGAGTCTCTCTACGTCTCTCAGCAGTACCCAAAATCCTCATCATGAAGTTCCTTGATTCTGATTACAAACGAAAGAGAAAAAGCTGATGCTGATGCTGAAGCTGATGCTGATGCTGATGCTGATGCTGAAGAGCTGCCAACGTAAATTGCTGTAAATAACTGCAAAATGTTGTTCTTATACACTAGATGAAAGTTATTGGGTTTTATCAGGCATGATGTAACAAACTGAAGATGTGATATGCAGATAGTGTATGTGTGGGTAGAAAGACTGAAAAGAATGTAAAATAAGAATTAAGATTAAGGTTTTCAGAGACAGTGTTTTATTTTTTTAATTACAGTTTGAAAGCTGTAAATATTATTTGAACTGGGTATTGAGAGATAGACAGACAGAGAGAGAAAGGGAGAGATAGAAAGAGAGCTGCCATAGCCATAACTTTCGAAGTTTCTTAAGGTAATCTAAGTAGTTTCTTCAACAATGAAAACTTTCGTGGTGCTCTTAATATACAAAGACTTTTCAACTTTAAATAATAAATAAATAAATACATACATATACATATCAAACCATTATACTTTATTATAATCAATTGAAAATAGTTAACATATCTATGGCAACTGTTAGGGTTTATTTATTTGGTATTTGATCTAAAACTGTGAAAAATAAAAAATTAATTTCAATTTTATTACATTAAAATTAATTAAAATATAATAATATACAACCATAAGAAATGTCATTTTCGTAATAGAACCTCTTAACTTCTTCAAAAAATCTTATTTAAACAAAGATATATCTTGAGTAAATATATATTTCATAAAATTCAACAAGAATGAGTCTTCTTTGCCAATTTAGAAAGTCTTTTTTGTATATTTAAATTTGTAGCAGCATAGATTATTATAATTTACAGTAAATCAAGCAGCTGAAGATAAGAAATATTTGAGAAAAGTTATCGAAAAGGGCATTGAGCATTCGCTAACTGACCGAGTCTGTTGTATAATGTTGCTGTTGTTGGATGTGGTTGTATTAACGACAACAACAGCAACAACAATGAATGCACTGTAAACAGTTCCGGCGCTCAATATGTGTCTGTGTGTGTGAGGGTATTTAAATTTATGAGTGTGTGTGAGGAAGTGCGCTTGTGTGTGTATATCGATGTTTGTTTTATGCATGTTAAAAAGTTTTAATTAACATTTTTGACTTTTCACTTGCTGCTGTTGCAGCCGTTGCAGTTGTTACATACACGCACACACACACACACTTACTTGCCATACATGTCCTCCATGTCCTGGCATTTCATCCTGTGCATTTTATTGTTGACTTTTGCTGACATTGTGAAAATTAAAAGCGAACTGCCGCAAAATTGTGTTCAAGCTGTTGCATTCAACATGTTTGCGGCACAGCAGAAAATATATTTTACAAGCACACGTGGATTCTGCACTCAAATATATAATTATATATATATATGTGTACATATATATATGCGTCTATATAGATACTTTTTTATTTAAGTATAATAAGCCTTTGAGCGTACAGTGGTTCAGTTTGTTGTTTAACAACTGCGAAATTACGCAAATGATAATTATTTTAAACTTAACTCAGCAATTAAGATTATATTCATTGAACAGGTCAAAGATCTGCTGCAATTTACATTTTTATTTGCTCAAAGTGAGTTCTGTTTTACATTTTATATAAAAGGAATTTTCGGTCTTTAATTTTAATTCTACTTCAATTGTGATGCAATTTTTTCAATTCAAAAAATTAACAATAATTTTTCAATCCGTTTATGATTGCGAAATTAGAAATTTAAATTACATGTTATATATTATTTAAGTCCTTATTTATATTTCAATTTATATTTATTGGAAATCAAATTTAGAATCGAAATTTAAATTAATAAGCATGCAAATACCTTTTCCACTTATCTTAATTGCGCAGCTTAATAAATTCAAGTATTTACTACTTTATGCCTAAAAGTATGCTATATAAAATTTAAAGGTCTATTATAAACAGTGTACAAAAAATTGAAATTTCATAAAGCATACTTTTGGGCACTAAATAAAGCCGTTGAACATTGCCTTCGCTCAGAGGCAACTTCACTAACAATACAAAAATGATATCTTTTAATTAAATAAACTCACTGCAAACAACTCAGAACTATAATAAAAGAAAAAATCTGAAGAGCCATAAATTATTTGCATTATTCAATTTATTATTAAACGCACTTACAATTTTGGTAAAAAGAATTAACTTTCGATTCCGCAAATATGCTTAGAAAAAACGTTGAAATATGCTGAATGCAATTAAACATTTTATCGATTGGTCAATTGAGTTCCACAAATGAATACACATTTACTCTGTGAGAACATGTTTATCGTATATCATTTAATTTACGTATATTTCACAGCAATTCAACACTTACATTTATCAATAATTCCAGCCGTGAAACACTTTATTGAAATGCCACAACTATCTCTCCTTCACAGACCACCCAGTCGAATGCCAGCCATGTGCTGTTGCGTAACGTGCCCACCTCAATATCTGGTAAATTTGCCTGCGAAGTATCCGCCGATGCGCCCACATTCGATACGTCTATTGTGGCCGCCGATATGGAAGTTGTGGGTAAGTTTGCTTGCTTAACTAAATACCTTCGAGTTATTGAGGTGATCTATTTCGATACTTGCAGAGCTACCCGCCCAGCGGCCCATCATAACGGGTATACATTCGCGTTATCGTCTCGGGGATATTATCAATGGCAATTGCTCATCGGATTACTCGAAGCCTGCGGCCAATCTGACCTGGTGGATCAATGATATACAGGTAATATAACTTATAATATATAATAGTTTATTTCTATCATCTACTATTTCTTAATATTAACATTAATATTTCCAATTATTACATTTGTTCATCACAGGTTCCACCAAATTATTTGCGCACCTATGACATACAAAGACACCTGGCTGAGCACTTGGAATCCTCCGTTTTAGAGCTGAACTTTGTTGTGACTACGCATCATTTCATCAAGAGTCGCCTTAAGGTGCGTGTTCTCAAGCTCAAACAAATAGTAGGCATTATAAGAGTATTAAAAATATAAATATTTTTACAGCTCAAGTGCTCTGCTCGCATTCATGACATCTATGCACAGGAGAGCGAAAAGCTTATCGAAGAGGATCGACCACGTATTTTGGCCTCTGGACGCTCGCCGGATATGAATATGTATCCCTTTGATCAACCAGGCGATGCGGATGAGCACAATGAACTCTACTTGATACACAAAAGTGAGTGGAAATAAATTCATATTCCTATAAAAAAAAAACATATTATAGTTACAATATAAAAATAGAAATTCAACGCGAAAACTATGTTATTCTGGCCTACGTTTTTAGATGCTTTTCAAGTTTGCTGTTAAGGTTAGGCAATTCTTAAAGCTGTAATAAAATCTAGTTAAAGTCGGCTAGTTATGCGGACAAAGCTCATTAAAAAGATTAAATTTGTAGTATATATTAACTATAAACTAATCTATAAAGCAAAAAAAAATGCTTAGTTTCACCGCAATCGAAGCCTGCTACATCCATTTGACCCCAACCAAGCAAAAAATGCGCGTGAAACTAAAATTTCATTAAACTTCATTTCACGCTTGTGGGACGACAATTTATATTTTAACCCGCACATATCTTGATTGTATTATCAAGAAATCGAATCGGAGTCAAGACCTCAGCAGTCAGCTGCTATGGTGTTAAACAATTTCGCCAGGATTTAAGCGCTTTAAGCACCCTTCAGCTGACCTTTTTTCCCACATGTGGCCAATGTGCGTAATCAATAACTCATTTGATTAAGGGCCGCACATTAGTGGGGCGCAACATAGTAAAAGTGCTGAACGTTTGTTTAAAAATTAGCCCAAAAGCCTAGGCAACAGATAAGCAATGGTCAACACACACACACACTCACACACCCAAACGCATCGCGCACGTAGAGAGATGGCTGGACTAGGTATACAAATCTTAGCCTGATTGTTTTGCAACTAAAACAAATGCGAAGGAGACCGCTGGGGATTGGGATACATTACACGCACGCCATTAGAATGATAAACGGTGGAGCATTAAATCAAAGTTAGTGGAAAAAGGACGAAGGATGCAGGACACTGTGAAAGCAGCTCACCTTATTAGCCATTGCTCTACTTCTCGTTGTTGTTGTTGGTGTTGTTGTTTGCTTTGTGCTGCGGCACGATTTATTAATGCTCTGCGCTAAGCTACAAGCAATTAATTCAAAGATTAATTTCACCAGCGGGTGCCACAGCTTCGACCCGCACCACACAGACGCCAACACACACGCACACATCTAGAGTCAGTGTAACCCATACTTAAGCCGCTTTCAATATGTTTCGTTCTCTTCTTTCTTTCTACCTTGATACACACATGCAAACACACACAAACAGATGCTGCCTCCAGGACCAGTGAACTCGATTGGCAACAGCAGCTAACTCGATTTCTGTTAATGGGTCTATTGCACTTGGCCTGGTCTGCCGCCCAGCTAAGCAGAACGAGACACCAAAATAGCTGCAGCAACTCTCAGACACAACTGGAACGGATTAAGGTGCCACGGTGATGAGCTGGCCCGGATCAGTTACAGCTGCGCGGAAAAACGGAGACTTCAATACAGCTGAGTGGCGTCTGCTCTGCAGCCAAGGCAAACTGGCCAGAAATATTAGTTAAATAAAGCTCTCATAACATTTATAGAAATCATCATGAACAATATATATTGAATGAGGATTCATTTGAGTGGATAATTAGGGCTTTAGACTTTTAATTGGGTTTTAAGTGACATGTTTTCTTTATTTTCATTTGTAATATGATCATATGATTTTTAGAATTCAAATATGAAAAATATTTAAATTCAGCTAAACTAGATGTTTACTTCATTCGAAAGTCTTTCATTGAAAAACATTCCCCAAAATTATATAATTAGCTGAAAACGAATAAAAAAATTGAATATAGCAAAAAAAACAAGCAGAATATTTACTAATTTTATTAAATTCATTAAAGAAAATGTTAAGAAATCAATTTCTTCTTTAGCAAGCATTCACTCCACTCTAAAGAATCTTCACTGTCTATATATATGATTTCTATATATATATATTAATATATATATATTTATATATATATATTTATATATATACATAGCAAATCGATTAGTCACATTTGTCACTTAACTTTAACATATAGCGAATGTTCGTTGTGCGTCATAGACAGAGCCAGAAAAAGGAGGAGGAGAGGAGAGAGCTGCCTACTCGCGCCCTCAACTTCCATAAATCAAATATATATATACACATATATATATATGTAACTAGTATAGTACATATACAAAAACTTGAAAACAAAACTGGAAAAATTAAATCAAACATATGCTGTATAAATTCAATGTTTCAATTGTCTCACCTAAACCTAAGTCAAGTGTACATAAATCATACGACATGAAAAGAAATCTACAAATTTAAGCGAAACAAAAACTTTTATGTATTGTTTTTTTTTGTATTTTATTTTATCTTTCTTTCTGCGTATTTAAACGTTGTGGTTTCTAGGCGTCTTCTATATATATATATGTTTGCTAGTATTTAAAAAATACTGTTAGTTTATAAAACTGTAAAACCTATCTAAGCATTTAGCCATTGTTAAATGATATGTGAATTGATTTTTAGTTGAAACCGTGAATAAAATGGCAGCCAAAAAAAGTATTTTATTTGTTATGTTATGATAAAGTGGATGGAAATTAAGGTAAGACGAAAGTGGATCTTTTTGATAAGAATTCAAACTTAAATTGCTTGAAAATATTTTATGAATATTCTTTTGGAAATTAAGCAATTTTCAGCGAATGTTTCTGGATCTTTGAATAAAATAGTAAGAGAAATATCCGATAAAGATTTCCATCTAAGAAGTTGCTGGAAAAAAAAATTACCTTCAGTTAAAAGTAAGACAATAAGAGTAAGTAATTAACAATTTTAATAGATATGCCTCGTAGGTTTTCCTATTGCATTTGTTAACAATCTAGTTTTCCAACTATTATTCAAACATTTTATGCCATTTGCTCATCATTTGCAAATTACTATTGTAAAGCAGTTTAGCGTTTTTCCTTCCTTTTTGCGGCATTTTTTTTGTGGTTTGCCAGGTCGTCTCCGTCGACAGAGTGTAAAATATTATGGCGTCAACTGGAAAAGCCACAAATGAAAAACTTGTAATTTAGGTGACAAAAACAACAAGACAAGGGCCAAACACTGCGACAATGTGGAGCACACAAAAAACAGCCTCAAATGGGTTGGCAGCACTGCAAAAAGCGAATAAAAACCATTTGGCAGCACCCCACTTAACAACGCATTGACGCTACTACAGTGCAGGACAGTTGCCTAGGTACGGTTGAAATGCTTATTATTAGTTGAAGATTTGATTTGAGGTAAGACTATATATATTTTATTATCTGATTGATAGATATTTAATTTAAATATACTATGAGTTTTGTAATAATAATAGACTATTATTTTTTTTATATTATATATTTAAATTAAATTCATTTTACGAAAAAACTATTTTTTGTTAACTTCTTCTCTCTATTTAAATATTTACATTTTATTTATTTATTGAGATGTTTTTTTGTATATTGAAGTTCTATAAAAAATATTATTTAAATTAATTATTAATATTAATTAATATTAATAAACTAATATATCATAAAAATATGATTATATTTTCTACTTAAATCTGTTTATTCAGTTTAGCTGCCTGAACAGTTTTTCTGCTTCTGTTTTTCTAATAGCCCAGGCTAAACATAATTTCTCAATAGTTTTCTTTATGGCTAACCTCTCTTTGTGGCCCGTGCTGTTGGCCTCTCTGCCTGTGTGGGCGCTGTCACTGTGTCGTTGCATACTTTTCAGCGAGTCGCCTTTGTTGTTGCTGTTTGCAATTTCACACTCGACTGCATCGCTGCCGATCTGAATGGGAATCAGAAATGTTCTGTGTGTGTGAGCCTCGTCTTGCTAAGCATCTGCAAAAGAGGCGTGGTCGCTGCCCATTGCACTGTTGCAAATTTATTGTGCATATGAATGCACAGCTATCCCTCTCTCTCTCTCTCTCTCTCGCTCTGTCGCTCTGACCCCACTTTATCTCTTGGCGCCTTGCTTTGGCAGTCAGCGAACCCAGCCAATTGCTCGAAAATGACTTTTGGCACGAGTCAGTAGCAAAAAGTGTGCGTGGCAGTGGCAAAGCATGATACTCAGAAAGTTGCAGCTGCAGCTAGAGCTGAAACAGAGGTGGGAGCACAGGCAGCTGTAGCTGAATCTGCACTTGGATACTGCTAATGGACAATCGAAAACGCATTCAACTGACAATTTCGGTTTTTCCCAGCTTTCCCTTTGTGTGTGTGTGTGTTGGCAAATTGATTCCTCTTTTCGGTCTGTTGCGGTTGCTTGGCAGCAGGCACTGTCAACAGGCGTCACCGCTGCTGCCGCCACTAACCACCGCCAGGTGGCGCTCTCATTAAAACTGCACTGGCAACTCCTTCGCGTTGTCAAAAACATTCAAATGCGTGAAGCACAACTTGGAAAGAGGAAAGGCAGTGAAGCCAGAGAAAATCAGTTTGGCTTCTTGTTTTGACTTGCATGAAAAACATTTCTTAATTGCTTTTTCAACTCTAACAACTGAGAGCAAAATAAATGTATAAAAGAAAAATAACAAATGAAAAAATTAAATTGCTTAAAGTTGAAATTAAAAGTATTAAAAATTTTGCACATGCCTGATTAAAGCTTGAACTCATTTATATATGTTTCTGTATGATAATAAAAGACATTTATGCCTAAGCCTAGTATGAAGAGAAGAAGGCGTTTAGCTGCCGCGCTACATATTAGTGTTCTGCTACCATTTAGGTGGATATATCTTTATTTTTTATACATATTTATATTTATATTTCATAATCTAACAACTTAACCTGAAGCCTTTCATAAATCAAAGACTTGCTATTAAAAATTAATATTATTCAAAAGTAACTTGATTGAAAGACTGCATAAAGTTATATCCCATTCCACTTAATATCGAAAAACTCTTGCTGATTTTTACTTCTGCTGCTCATAACTTATAGAATGTCTTTCATCAAGTTTTACTCTGAATCAATTGGTAATGCAATTCTTGATGAACCCGAACGATTCACTCTGACAAATAATTCTGATTCAGCTTTTTCTGCCTCTCTTTCTCTTTCTCTGCCTCCCCCTCACACTCATCTTTTGCAGGCAAACTTTTAAGTTTTTAATTAATTTGTTTTGCTGCGGCTCGAGACACAGACAGAACCAGCAGCAGCAGTAGCAGCAGCAGCAGCAGCAGCTTTTCAACTCAACCACAACTTTTGCTCATTTTTCTCAGAGAAGAAAAGCAAAAGCAGAAAAAAAAAAGGAATGAAGAAGCTGAAAAAAAGGTTAAGTGTTTCCATTTGGCAAACATTTAGTCAGTCCCAAAGAGCTGTCCTGCCCCACTCCAAGCTCCAGCCCAAGTGTATGTGTGTGTGCGAGTTTTAATAGGCTTTTGTGTGGAAAATAAATTGATGCGGTGCACCTGTAAAACGTTACGGCAATAGGCATGCCATGTGGAAAGCAAGTCGTCAGGGGGTATTGGCCAACGTCTGTCTGTGGGCCCTGAGGTAGACCGCATTGTAAACGGGTACCACTCAACATGAGTTCGAGTTAATTTCGAGTAAATTGTTAAAAGATTGGCTGGTCTAGACACAACTTTCAAAGACTTTAGCTAAAGGATTTATTCCTTTATATATGAACATGAGAATTTCAAGAGGAAACTAGAAATTGCGGCACTGTTTTCGTTCGCAATTAGTGCAAGTTGAGTAAAATATTCGTAGGTCGCAGACCCAAGTTTCATTCTAACAACTATGCAAAGTTCTCCTTTTGGAACACGTATTCGTCTCTTAGTGTACTTTATTTGCCAGATATATAGAACATTGAATTATCATCCGAATCCCGTAAACTCGCGCAGTATGTGAGACATGGCAGCGGGATTGTCCTGCTGCACCAGATGTCCCGCGCGATAAACCCAGAACATGCTGAAGCCGCCGCCCTGCTTCTCATAGCCCTCAAGCATGCCATCAATACGCACTGGGCGACGTGTGGCGCTTACATACAAATCCTTGCGATTCCATTCCATGCGATTGATCCAATTGACGGTGCCAGGTGTCGCGCACAGCAGATCCAGCATGCCCGAGTAGACGCCCACGCGTAGCGGCGTCTCATTCAGCAGTCGAGTAACTGTGAACGAGATAAGATTAGCTCAAGTTGAGAGGTCTTTGATATAAAATTAAATATAAATATTGGCTATAATTGTATCTGTGTGTGTCAATTGGACTTAAGATTCTTCAATAGATAGTTAATAGGGAAATAGTTAAACAAGACACATCGGCACCCTATATCTATATCACTTTATAGCTGTCATGGTTTTAATTAATGAAATATTAATTAATTATTATTATTAATATTATGACTGTGAATACTTGTTATAGTGTAGTTGGAAATCGTCTCAAAGCTCATCTAAGAATATATATTAAAACCACTTGATTGAACTTCAAATGAATCTTATATTGGTCTGCCTCTTTGCACATTGAACTTCATTCTATATATGGCTATAATAATATCTGTTATAAATATTATTTATTGCCAATATTTTTTCTTAACAATCAATATATATTAGCAATATATAGCTCTACTATGGGCACAATCTATTGAATTGTTTGAGGTAAATATGAAAATGTTTTTAAGCTTTTTATCGATATGCCACTCAGTACTTCTTAGCTACACTATAAGAAAAGTCCTATCAATATTAAAGCTTAGCCAGAGTAGCAAGGCGAAGGCGATGACAGACCAGCTGATGATAGAGCTTGAAGCATTTTGTAATGGCTGCCAAAAACCAATTAAAATTCCTACATGAATCTCTGATCCGAACTCTTATATGAATAGCCCTTCTCGGTCCACGCATTACCTATATTAACCGCTGGCTTGAAGATGTCGTGGCCCAGCTTAATGAAGACCGTCGCATTTTGTGACATCCACTCGGACATGTGCGTCAGATTCAGTGCCTGGGTAACATTGTTGATCATAAATTCCCTCAACTTGGGATCCTCGCCGTAGCGATAGACATCGTTGATGTGAACGCGATGCTGTGTATTGTAGAGAAACACGCCTCCAGTATATTTCTCGATAACTTCTTGTATGCCCTGATCCATAGCCTGCAGCCATTTGCCGGCATAGACCAGTCTGGCCACCTCGGCGGCAACATGTGCTATGCTCCTATAGCCGTCGTGATCCACAATGCCCAGCTGCAGCAAATAGGGTGCATAGGACAAGGTGCTGTCCAGCGGGGATGTCCATGGATTGCCAACGACTACCGATTGCAGCTGGCACTCCAGGTTTTTGCGCTGCTTGGCAAGCTGCAGCTCGAGCGCGAATTCGGGTGCCATTTTGCCGCCATAGCTCTCCGAGAAGATGTGCAACGGGACGCGTTGAAATTCTGGATGATTGTGCAGAAATGTGCGCATCAGCTTGACCAGATCTTTGGCTATTTGATTATTATCTTTGGCATAGTGACCCTGCGGCTCCACATAGCTGTAGCCCGTGCCCACTGGGCTGTCGATGAACAGAATATTCATATGCTGCACCCAATTGCTGGCGCGCGGCTTGCCCTCGATGTCAATGGGTCCCAGCTGCTCGAAGCAGCCGCAGCCTGTAGAGGCAACGCCGGGTCCACCCTGCAGCCAAATGACCAGCGGCCGTTCCGTATGGGCGCTCACATTGGCCGTCGTGTAGTGCAGCCAGTAGAAGAGATGCGCGCCCTCTCGCACCTCCACATAGGCCCAGTCCTGTTCGCCGGCACCAAAGCCGCGGCGTGCTGACGGTACAAATAACATTTATAGAAAGACAAACTCTGCCAGAAATCTGTATACTCGAGTACCTTGCAGCCAGCCCAGACATTGCAGCAGCACGAGCAGCTGCAGCAGCAGCAGCTGCAGCCTGTGCCAGTTGCTCATCACTAGCATTGCCACGCCCACACAATGAAAAGCACAAGTAACCAGCGCAGACGAACTGCTTCGTTCTATGTTCAAATGCGCACTGAATATACGTGCAGCGTTTATTTTCTTCAATATTCAATTGGCTATTTATAAATTGAAAAACTGTTTTCAATCACATAAACAAAAAAGGTGAACTTTATGGAAAACAAAAAAATTCTTTTGTTGCTCCCAGAGATACCGTGTAAATGGGCTGGATGCAATGGGGTGTACAAGGGCCAGCGAAAGCTGAGAGTGAGTGAGTGAAAGGAAAGCAAAAGTGAGTAAAGTAAGCAAGGAGCAGAAGCTGAGGTGAGTTGAAATATATATTTGATGTTCATATTGCGTAATTTCTTCGAGTGTATTCCATGCGAACTAACTAACTATGCAGATCTATCTATCAATCAATCTATCTAAAGCACATATCCTAGTCGCATAGTCTCTAAGCAGAGAGCATTTATTAGTTGTTTATTCTCAGCTGCTGCTCTCTATTTATTAGCTTTAACTAAAACGCGTCTGTAGCATAAATATTTATATGAAGTGTGCGGGCCGTTTGTCATAATTCGTAGAATTAATCTGATTTTTCTCAGTTTAACAAATGAGCAGATCAAATCTGGTGTATAGACTTAATTGTGTACCTACTTAATTAGGTCAATGATCTTGCATACCCTGCATAACTAGACTAAGAGATGTGTGTCTGCTGTTAAAGCTTTTCTCTTGAGCTGAATGTTAATGGCCCATATTTGTTTCCTTGAACAGTAATTGTATTCAATGGATGCGATTTCCAATTGATTATCATAATTCTGTATTCTCATATAATATCAAACTGATTAAGTTGTCCAAGTTGAACGGCTGCTGATCATCAACAACTAATTAGTGAATGCTTACATAAAATTCGTAATCGAATAACAATTATCCAAAGAAGAAGAAGCTGAGCAAGGCGAGGAAAGGCTGCTGGGCTGGCAAATGACTTTCCCCCGTTGGTTTTTCCAAGAGAGTTGCGGCTCGTCACGTCAACGCACAAGTAATTTTCACACAACTTAACGCCACATATCGTGCATATTAATTATGGTTGGGGGCGGGCGCATGAGCTGCCGTGGTTGCTGTGTGAAATCCAATTTGGTAAGACGACCTATGCCATAGTCACGTAGATTGGCAAACGGGAGAGCCGCTCCAAAGAGCAGGCACATGCTAAATGTCATTTGCTCAAGAGCTCGAGGCATGCGGCCAATGCGTCTGCACGTATGCTACGCAACCAGCACCGGGAGGGTGTACACTGAGCGAAAGCAGATGTGAGCATTTGTATTGCAAATTCACTTGCTAAGACTAAATATAAATTTTGCTACTATTTTATTGAATATTTTTCCATAGCAAAAAAAAATGATTTTCCTCGAATTTCTTTGCCTGAACTTAAATTAAAATCTGCTCAAGCGAGCCTCAACATTTATTCAATTGTTAACTATATTTAAGTCTCTTTAAGATTTCATTATACTCATCACAAAAAGTTCGATTTACACTTGATTTGCGTAGAAAATACGTTTGTAATTCGTGTTTCTTTTGTTGTCTTTCGCTAAGTGTCAACTTTCAATGAGGCTCTTATTGTTGTTGTTGTTGTTGTCGGTTGCCACGTGTACAGACGGCATAGGCTATTGTAGCCATGTCAAGTATTTATAGGTAGAATGCCAGGATTTGGCGCGTCGAGGCCAAAATTTTGGCTCAAAAATTGTTCATGTGAGCGAGAGATGTCGCTTGGGTTTTCGGTCGGCAGTGCTTTCTTGGCCAGGGCCAAAAATAAATTAAATGCCAGCGCTAAACAAAGGCGAAATTCTTCATAAGAAAAATGCGACTTGCCAGCATGAAAGACAGGTGCTACACCTCTTGCAGCTGCTGCTGCTGCTGCTGCTGCTTGAACAGCCAACAGCAAGCAGCTTCAAGCCAAACAAAGGCAAATAAATGAGCGTTAATTAGTAATCAGTCAAATGCACATGTTGCCAACTCCTTATTTATAACAAACACTTTAGCTGTTAGCCATGCAACGCCCCTTCACTCAAGCCTTTATGCCACTGGGAAACACTGAATTCCTTTAAATTTAAAAACTTCCTTTTGCACCTTTATTTTCTATTGAATCTGCCAGGCCGCTGCCAACAAGTTTTTCTATAAATATTTTATTAAGTTTTGAAAGTCAATTAAACATGTTTTGCTTTATACAACACAGGTTTCTGTCGTGTAATAGAGACTCTTTAACAGATATAACACACTTTGATCATGATAGGGGCGCAGGCTTATCAGTCTTATGGAAACACAAGACATTTTAAAGACTTCAATTTAATAGAATACTTCTTTTTATAGAACGAACTTATCTATGCTCAACTCAGTTGTGAGAGCTACAACAGCTAATGTTGAACTGGCATGAATTAGCTATGCTGCACTGCTCTGAGCATGAAGACGAGAAGTTTGAGTTACAGTGAGCTGTTTCGAAGTTACGATTACCGACATTTATTTAAATTTCTTCTCTAATACCTTATGTCTATTGCCACAGGCTTACACTAAATGTCGATCTGGTTGATGTTGGGGATAATCATAAATTTCTCAATGCTCGCGCGTCCACTCCACTTGATGACGTCAGGAGAGTCTTGAATATATTTTATGATTAAATACCTACAGTGTTCATTCATGGCATTCTTTATTTCCAATAACTCAACTCGACTATATATGTACTTTTTATTTTTTATTCACAATTTTTGTCTTGCCTATAAAACGATCATATTCCAATAAACAATATATATTTTTATAAAAAATGTAAAAAAAAAAATTATTTAAAATATTATTTCACTATAAAATGCCAAAATAAAACATTTTTTCTAAATTTTATAAAAATCAAAAACTATTTTCTAAGATAGATTCATTTTTTTGTATAGTTTTTAACAAAATCGGATTTTAATAATTGAAATTCGAGATAAACTGGATAAACTACCCAATGCCTAAAATTCCAATCTAAGAATTTGAAACTGGCTAATAAATATTTTATATGCAGCAAGTTTGACTTTCAATTTTATTTGCCGCTCAATGGGAAAATTAATTTTCTGATATTCTATGCAACATATTTGCAACTAAGCCGCTCACAGCAGCTCACACGGATGGATAAAAATATGTATGTATAAAAAAAAGAGAAAATAGATTAAATGGCTTGTCAAATGGTGGGGAAGGAAAACAATAAAAACAAATTCCAAGCAACAACAACGCAAGGCCCAAAATGTTTAAAGGTGAAAAATTGGCTGATCAAAATGCGAGTCAAAGAGGCAGGCAGCTCCAGTCTGGAGTTGCTCAAGGTGCTTGGCCGTATGACAAGCGTTAACTTTTCAATGTTGACATCCAGCCCGCTTCCACCTGCCACGCCCCCGCCAGCTACGCTTCACAGTCAACGTGTGCTGTTTTGTGCGCTCAATCAATTTTGTCAATTTTCTTTTCCTGTTTTTTCCCAATTTTTTGTTGTTGTTGCTGTTGTTGTGCTACCCTGTATTTGCTGTATGATTCCAAATGATGAGATAGTATTTAGCGTACAGCTAAGTCCTTTAACAGCATCAAAAAAAACTTTTTTCAGAATTTTCTCATATCAAAGCATATATAGAAAACGTATATATGCAGAGCTCTCAAGCTATAAGCAGACTTATTTATTTCAGAATAAATTATGTATACACAGGATATCTTCTAGTCGGCTACCTTTTAGCCTGTTTTATTTTTATTTATTTTTTTTTATTTAGGTACAGCGCGCACGTTTGGTTTATTTATTCCTGCTGCTTGTCGCAGTTGAAGCTGTCTTCATAGCCATTACCGCCTCCTCGCCCCTCTGCGCCTTCTCTTCAGTCGCGCTACTCGACCTTTCGACTATGCTGCTGATGATGATGGCTGCACGTCTCGCAATGCTCTGATGTGTGTTGATATTTGACACTTTATTATGTGCACATCATCAATTTTGAAATTATTGTCAATGTACCGATAGATTGAAGAGCACAACAATATGCGCGATAAGACCAAGTTGTCGATGTAGCACAGACTCTCTAGACATATAGATCGAAAAATATATAAGCTAGACCAGAAACCACTTGAGATTATGCGAGCGTTCGCCTGAAAGTTTTTAAATTTTTAAATTAATTGAAACAAGTTTTTAAATAAATATGTTAAAAATAAGAACAGGAATAGCATAAGTTAAACTAAGCCGAGGAAGCTATAAAGAGTATGTTCTCAAGTGAGTAGAAGTAGTTTGAGGCATTGCAGCATATTTATGTTTCTATAAGCTCAACTCTTCCTTTCTTTGTACTCTTTTATAAGTACTTATAAGTACTTGTACTTCCACTAACAATGCCAACTGCCTAATGCCTAAAGGTTGTTTGCCAAATAGAAAAAATATATCTTCAACAGCTTAACAGCAAAAATACCTAAGTCTAAAGTCTAAGCTGAATACACTAAAAGATATTTATAATTGCTTAAATATCTTAAAACTAAGTACTAGAGATACTCTGGACGCACATCTTCCTCATGTTGCCATAATCCATCTTTCCACGTTCAAGCTTGAACTGCAGCTTACACTGAACTCATTTTGAACTACTTAACTTCAGCTGATTAACAATAAGTCTTGAACTAATTACGTTTAACTAAAAAGTTAGAAAAGTGAAATCGTCTTGATCATGGCAACAGAAGGCGACGAATTTTAATTTTAATTTTATTTACAACAACAACTTCATGACACAAAACAATACAATACAAAAAAAAAAAAACTAAAAATCAACACTAACAAAAAATTATAAAACAGAAAAATTGTCAAAAATAGCAATATAAATATAAATAATACAATTAACATAATTACACAAAATGCTGCAGTTTCCGCGGCAAAAAATAAAATTTTCAGTGGCTAATTTAAGGTAAGAGATGAGATACAAGAGAAACATTCTATTTTAATTGCTATGTTCAGCAGCGGCACAGAGGGCAATGAGGCCGACAGTTCGTGCGAGTCGCTACAGAAATTGCTTTCGCGGTGCGTACAGTTGCTTGAATGAAATATTTCAGTATTTAAGTAGCCAATGATCTATCTATCAAATCTATCAGCACCTCACTGCTGATACTCGACCATAAACATTTTGTAGCCGCACGCACCATTCAGTCGATATGGCGAGCCCGACGCCTGCGCGAACAGCTCCGTCGCGAAAAAAACTCTGCCCGCACAATACAAAGATGGTGGCGAGGCTTTCACCAACGCAAACGTTTATTTTCCATCATCGAGGAGAAGGTGCAGCAAAGCACTATCGCCCACTACAATAAGGAGGCAACCAAGATACAGGCATATTTTCGTGGCTGGTTCACACGACAAACAGTCCACGACATGCACAGTCTGCTACGCATGCAAAACAATGCAGCCGAGGAGCTGCTCAATTGTGTGGCCTACAGGCTGCATCATCTGCTGCGCACCTATTCGGTACCTGGCATCTACTCGTTGCGTGATTCACAGTGAGTCACTGTCCTACTCAAAGTCTGCCCTATGCTCACTCTCTCCCTCGCTTGCCCACAGCTGTCTATCGAAGGTGGAAAAGCTGTTGGACAGCATTACGTACCGTTTTCTCAATGATAGCGTTATCCATCGTCATGTGTTTAAGTCGGATGTAACAAAACGTCATAACTATCAGTTTAATCAAAACAGCCTATATACGAACGTGCCTTTTTCGGGACCCAATTATAATGCCGCTTGCAAAACGCATCTCGAGGACAGTTTGTTTCCCTCCAAAAAGATGGAAGCGTGTATGTACAAGGTCATTAGGGAATATGAAAAATCGTTGGCCGACCCCAAAGTGGCTGAGACACACAAGATAATATTTAATCGTGAGTAGTTGTCAAAGAAGAGTCAATTCTTAGTCAGTCATAAACTATTGATCTGCTAAGCTCTGCATGTCTGTCCGCATGTCCTTCGACTTCAGCGAGTTAAACTAGTGCCAACTGCAAATTTTAGTTTACTCTCTCTAAGCCTCTCTATATCTACCCCACTTCCTTTTCACCCAGGTCGGGCCCAGGAGCAAACGAAAATGATCTGGCAGAATATAGGCAAGGTGCGAGGCAATTTTTGCGGCGATGTCATCGACAGCATGCGTAAATGGAATATTTGGGATGATGAGAACCTAAATATAAACCGCAACATCTATCTCGATCCCAACGATCTCAAAAATTTTCTTGACGATGCCGAACGCCTTCTAAACAAGTATACAGTGTCATGTTATTGCCGTCAAGAAGATCTGCCAAAAATAGAAGATCAAGGGCGATAGATCACTCGTGTTTGGGCATCTGTGTCGTATCGCGAACCTGCACGAATCGACGCAACTTTTTTCACGTGGAAAGAGTGCAGTTGGCTCATGCGTGCTCGTTGATACGACTCAAACGAACTGACACGATGGCATTGAACAAGTTTCAGATTCAAAATGTAGTGTCTAAAAGGTAGTATAGAAACGAATATATATAGATACATATATGTATTCTCGAACCAACTTGTTTCTTTTATATTATATACATAATCAACATTGAAATTTATTTATATATAGAAAATGATTTAGTTGAGCTTAAAAATTAAATACAGTTTTGAACTGCTTTTATTCAACAGAATAAATGAAATTTTTACATTTCGCTACTTTATTTCTGCTAACACAGAGGCATAGTCATACATACACACACAGCCACACACTTGCCACAGTCAAGGGGCACATTTGGCGCGCCGCAAAGTATGCAATCAATTTTGATAGCCCACATGCAGCGCATGGGCGTGGCCCGGCCGCTCAACGCCCAGCATTGGCAATGCAATGTTTTACTAATAATTTTCAATATAATCAGCACCTGCGACGAGCAAAAAGGAAGCCGACAAATGTTGCTAATGTATAAACATTTGTGCGAATAAAAACTGAAATGGCCCAGCTAGCGAGACGGCTCAGACGCGACGGGCGGTCCATATGTGACTGTGTGTGTGTGTGTGTGTGTGTGTGTGTGTATGTGTGTGCGTGCATGCCACATTTACGTGGCATCCTTTCAGAGTGCCAGAGTCGTGGCAGTCCGTAATGCGTTACGGTTACGGCGTTAATTTCACCACATGCGGTTCCTGATGGCAAACGATTGGTAGGACCAACGACTGCTTATGGCCAAATCTTGAAACGCCGGCAAAAGAACTGATGCGATGCGACTTGCAAATTTTTTTACGTAAGGTAAGTACTCTACTTGCCACAGTGAAAGCGAATCAAATATGATAAATTATGTTCGAATAGAATTCTTATGCTGCAGGCAAAGGAAACTCTCCTTTCCATTTTATTATATTTATATAACTTAGATATATATATATATATATATTATATTTTAATAAAAATTTCAACTTCGATTAATTATATTAAATATAGTTAAATAATATGTCAAAATCTCGCGGTTTCATCTTGAATCCAAGTCAGAAATTTTGTGACGTTCGTAAACATGATGTTAGCATCTATTCCGTCCCCATGGCTCCAGATTCCAACTTGGTAATATCGATCGTCACTCTCATTGATCTTGGGACACACGAGCGCCGCTCCCGTGGCATATTTGAGAGTTCGCTGATGACCTTTGCCGCAGATGAGACCATCAGCTGTGCCGTTGGCACATTTCATAAGGTTCATCGTCATGCTGGTCATTAGTTGACGTCCACGCTTGAGCCTGTCATTCCAGCCAACCACACGGCAGCTCCCCAAATTGAAAAGCCCATTTTCGGGCAAGCAGATAAGCCCAATGTGGGGCACCAGATTGAATTTGGCTTTGAGTATGAGCAAAGCGATATTATTTCGCTGTGCCAACATGGAAACAGTCCTGTTGACCTCACGCTCTTGATAAGGTAGAATCTCGTTCTCTGTCGCAATATCCCAGTCACCAGCCCTGACCTTTAAGTCTGTTAGCATATTCACCTCCATGGCCGTGCTAAGTACTACGCGTGAGGCAATAAGCGAGCCACCGGTCAGAAACACGTTCGATTTCCTGAAGACGCCCACTATCCAGGGGAATTCCCCGAAGTTAGCATGCTCCGCGTTTCGGCTAACAATGTTCATGTAAACGCCTTTTGAATTGGTGTCGCCGCATCGAGGCCACTCTGATTCCACGGCAATGGGCAGGCTATCGTTGCGCTTTAATAGGAAGATAAAGAAATTTGGATATAAGTGGGAGAGAGAGAGAGAGAGTAAAATATACATAAAATAAAATGAGAGGGAGGAAAAGAGATTAAAATAAATAATATAATGATAGAGAAAAAAGAGAGAGGGAAAGATAGAGAGCGACAAAGAGAGCATGAAAGGAATAACTATAACGATCGATAGAGAAAGAGATAGAGAGACAAAAAGAGAGAACAAGTAATATTTACGGATAAATAGAATGATCGAGATAGTGAAAGCAATTGAGAGAGAAAGAGACTGAGATTGAGCACGAGAGAGAGAGCAAGCTATCACTGACTGCGGGTAAAAATAGGAAACGAGATATAGAAGTGGACTGCTTTGATTAGAAGGTTGGAAAAGGAGTAATTCAAATACGTCCAACAAATATAAATGTCAAATGAAATTTATAATTTCTCCTATGAATGCAATATAATTTTTTCGTACGATTTGCGCTGTATTGCAGCAGACCTCCAGATAGTGGCAGTTGTTTGGGGCATTTAAGTCAATGACATATTTGTTTTGTTTCTTCTTTTGATCTTGGCAATTCCAATGTTTGACGCAAATAATATTCTCACTATTTCCACATTTGGGAATTGGCTTATTGATTGGCGCTGTTGTTGTTGTTGTTGTTGTCGACGCTCTGGTAGGTGCTGGTGTTGTGCTGGTGGTCTTTGTCGTGTCAGAGGGGAAGTTCACCGATTCATATAGTTTTTCCAGTTTCTTGAAAGTGTCATTGACAGCTGATTCAAACTCAGTTACAGATCGTTTATTCTTCACCAAACTGATAATGTTTCCGATTAATTCAGTCCTATAAGATTCCAACTGATTCACTTCTTTAAAAAAGTCATCCAATGAAAAATCTTGGGCTACTACGCCCAGGCAAATGGTACTCAACATTAAGCACAACCCATATCTTAGAAACATCATCTTGAATAATTTCAGCAATATAATTTCAACTATTAGCGTAGATTATTTATGCAAAATTACGGAGAACTGTCAGTATTTGTGGTATATTCTGCTGATAACACATTGTGGTTTGTTGCTGACATTTAATCTACTTTATATTATAATATAATTATATATGCAGTAGAACAAAGCACAATTCTTAAAATAAAATAAGCCGAGAGCTGCACTCGCCGCAAGGCCAACTTTAATACTAAATCCAATTGCGAGATATTCGCTACTTAAACCGGAAATCATATGGTATACACTGAAAACAATGAATTGACAGAAATAACTGGATATCGAAAGCATTTAGCATTCCATTCCATTCTACGACCCTGAATAATTTCGGGTTTGAAGTGCAGCACATTGACATTGCGTGCGTGCAAATTCGCCAAGCCACAGTCGATGTCCCAAGCAGCAATGCCAGCCTAGTAGTATTGATTGGGGCTACCTGGAATGGGGCAGACGGGAGGGCTACAACTGTTGCCTACGCAGACTGCGATACCTTTCAAGATCTCAAGATCAAGATTGTAAAATGGATTGTATATTTGCCGCAGTTTGTCATGGCATTTGGTATGTGGAAGCACGGGCGCGGTGATCTTTCTGAGAACTGAATTACATGGTGACTGTGCAGCGACTGTCGTCGAAACTTGCGCTAGCACCGGGCAGGCAGATGGGCGAAATGTGCACTCTCTCTAGACGGCCAATATACTCGTATTATACGTATGCAAAAATAAAAATAAATATATACGAATAATAAGAAAGTCAAGAATGGGGTCATTTTTCTTATCATGCTCAGACACATACACACACTATTAAGTAGAATTTATTCAGTCTTTTCGAGCAGAGTAGTAAGACTACTCAGTGCATGATCTTCATTCACATCAAACGGTTCGCGATTCACGACTTTGCTTTTCTTTAACGAAATGTTCAAATTGTACGGCTGTTTGCTAGGCCTTCTCCTAGCCACTACTCAACAGAGCACTGTTGTTTCTGCGGAACTATGTCAGTATCCAAAGGTGTGCGTGCCACGAATGTTATGCGTTAACAACCAAACCGTAACGACAGACGCACAAGGCGTCATCGGTTTTCGGAGAGTGCCACCGGCTGTTGAATGTGAGCCCTTACAGAAATGTTGCTTACTGAAGAATGTGGTAAAGCAAAATAATGTTATTCAAATATATTAGTTTTGACCCTCAATTCTATCAAAAACTCACCAGCCACCGATCGTGACGGAGAACCACGAGCCCGGACTCTGCGGCATGCGCAATCCGAATGGGGTAAGAGAAACACCTGTGAAAGCTCAGCACGACGAGTCGAAGTTTGGTGAATTCAATTGGGTGGTGTCCGTACTGACGTCCAGTTACTGCAAAAGCAAAGCTCAGATATGTGGGTATACAAGTGTGGGCAGTGGAAGCCTGCTTACTCCCAGAGTGGTGCTGACTGCAGCTCACATCTTAAATCATAGAACTGCCAGCGAACTGCAAGTGCGGGCGGGAGAATGGGATAACCAAAACGAGTTTGAAGAACTGCCATATCAGAACCAAACTGTGTTAAGTTTAATCACTCATGAGGATTTCAATCACCTAAACGGTTACTATGACATATCCATACTGATTCTGCGCTCACCATTTCAACTAAATGACCATATTGGCACCATTTGCTTGCCCAGCCCTCAAGCCAACTTCGAATTGAGTAGATGCACCGTCACGGGTTGGGGCAAACGTAAAATAAGTGATTTAAGTTATCCAAACATCATGAAGAAGATCGAAATGCCATTCGTGGACAGGGACAAGTGCCAACAGCAGCTGCGTGATAATACTCGTGTGGGACAATATTTTGAGCTGCACGAAAGCTTTGTGTGTGCCGGCGGCGAGAAGGACAAGGATGCCTGCTTTGGCGATGGCGGCTCCCCCCTTGTCTGTCCCATAGCCAATTACAACGATCGCTATCAGCTGGTCGGCTTGGTGTCTTGGGGCTTGCACTGTGGCACAGAGAATGTGCCCGGTGTTTATACGAATGTTCCAATGATGGTACCCTGGATTAAACAGCAGCTCAATCTGCGTTCAATAACAATCTGAATACTGTTTCTTGAATAATAATAAATAAATATAATATTGAGCTTGCATAGATATGATTGATTTATTGAAATAGATATAAAAGAACTTTCAGCTTCCTACTTCTGATTAATTCACAGAATTATTGATATTTGACGTTTCATACTTATTGCTAAAGTCTAGTTGTGTTTTAACTGAATGCAAATCTGAACGAATATTTGTGAAGAATGTTGAATGTTTCAAATTCATCCCAGAGAAATATACGGAAACGTAAGTCGAGTTGCTGAGCTGAGTCTTGCATATCTTCAGAAGATCATCAAATGGGGTTTTATATATAACTACTTATTATTTATTATAATGAAACAGATTAGGTTACTAAAGGGAAAACAAATGGGTTTTCTTTATGGTCTTGTTGACATTACAGAACTTCTCAACAAGGAAACGCCAGAAGCCCGTGAAGAGCTGTACATATATAAACGCAAATATACTGACACATGTTCACACATGATAATGTATAATCAGTAAAGTCTGAGTAGGTTCTTTCGCTTTGAGATCGACTGCAACTCTTCAGCAATTTGAGGCACACGCAGCGTAGAATTAAAATTCATATCATTCGGTTCGTGACGCTCTCGGCTTGCGCTTACTATACTAAATGGAAAATGCATTTGGTTTCTGGGGCTGCTTGCTTCTTTTGGCAAGTGCTCAACATAGCACTGCTCCATCAATAGAATGCGGACATCAAATGAAATGTACACCTCGACATTTGTGCGATAACAATAATGCCAGAATAAAAGACGGACGAGCTGTAGTCGATTTTCGCTCAGACGAATTCGTGGGTAATAATCATAGCTGCAACTATTTCCAAATATGCTGCCCAGTGAAGGATGTGGTAAGAGTATTAAAACTGAATCTCATTAGTTCCGATGCTCATCTCGATGTGACGCTCTCCAGAGGACAATCGCCACGGAACAGCATGTGTCCGGGCTCTGTGGTGTCAGCAATCCGAAAGGCATCAGATTGACAGTTGTAAATACTCAGCACAGTGAGTCGCAGTTTGGTGAATTCCCTTGGATGGTGGCCATACTGAGCCATAGCTGCATAGACACTTCTCACACATGTGGGCATACACTTGTGGGTGGTGGCAGTCTGCTTGCTCCCGATGTGGTGTTGACCGCTGCTCACATCTTTACAACTTTCAAGAACGACAACGTGGTGGCGCGAGCTGGCGAATGGGACAGCCAGAACACGTTTGAGCTTCTGAAACATCAAGATCGTGAGGTGAAGGAGATCAATATACACCCCGATTTCAACAGTGCAAACGGCTTTTATGACATAGCTCTACTAATTCTGAGCTCGCCATTTGACTTAGACGAGCATATTGGTACCATATGCTTGCCCAGTCCCCAAGCCCACCTAGATTTGAATAAATGCATTGTCACGGGCTGGGGCAGACTTAAATTAGATGATTTAAAGTCTCCCAACATCATGAAGAAAATCGAACTGCCATTTGTGAACAGGACCAAGTGCCAAGAGCAGCTGCGTGATAATACTCATCTGGGACAATATTTTGAGCTGCACGAAAGCTTCGTGTGTGCCGGCGGCGAGAAGGACAAGGATGCCTGCTTTGGCGATGGTGGCTCCCCCCTTGTCTGTCCCATAGCCAATTACAACGATCGCTATCAGCTGGTCGGCTTGGTGTCTTGGGGCTTGCACTGTGGCGCAGAGAATGTGCCCGGTGTTTATGCGAATGTTCGCATGATGGTACCCTGGATCAGACACGAAATAAGATTGCTATCTGAGTAAACATCTATGAAGAAGCAATCAATTTGCAATGATAAAGCTATTACAAATATATATTTTCGAAAAGATTAAAAATATAATTTCGTTTTTAACTACGGCTATTGCTATGTGGAGCTATTTTTTCAGCATAGCGACTTAGATATCTAAGTGATTATAGAGTATAGAATTGCTTATCAATGCCCAACCTATCGAGTTCTTTGATAACCCAGGACAGGAGATATGAAACATTTGTGTAGACAGCGGGCACATTGTCCATGGCGCAACGGACCCCCCATGCCACAATGCCTGTCTGGTAGTATCGATCGGGATTGCCCAAGATGGGACAGACGAGGGGAGCTCCGCCATCGCCCAGGCAGGAATCGAAACCTGCCTTGCCGCCTGCGCACATGTAGCTCGGGTGAACATGTGAGGGAGGAATTCGTACAGCTAGCAGCTTTTCAAGGCATTCGTCACGAGGTACGATGGGCACGGTTACCTCCTTAAGAACGTGTTCATACCTCGCGCCTAGGGTCTTTTGGCCCCAGCCCGTGACAATGCAGTTTGAATAATCAAATTTGGCATTGGCACTGGGCAGACAGATGGGCGAGATGTGTGGATTGTTGCTGAAGCTGTTATCAAGAACAAGCAAGGCTATATTGTTAGTCTTGGTTGTCTTGGAGTAACTGTCATGGAGTAGTATCTCGCTAACATTGCGATCTATATGTGGATAGCGTTCCAGCTCTGAGTTCATATCCCACTCGCCAGCACGAATCAGCAGCTTTTCCGCATCTATACTGTCAACCTTGTGAGCTGCAGTCAGCACAATTTTTGGCGACAAAATCGAACCGCCTCCAAAATAAGTTTTCTCCGGCTTCAACATGATGGCCACCATCCAGGGAAATTCACCAAACTCAGCTTTCTGATTCAAACTGACGCCATTCACATGCCGAATGCCACACGCCGCTTGCTCGTCCTCGCCCATATCATTGTCGATGGACATATTGATCTGAAAGAGTTTTAATAAGTTTTTTTTTATCAAGTCTCGATTGATTCATCAATGTGCATACTTTGTCTATGGGACAGCAGGTTTCCAAATAGTTACACGCATTATTATTTGCATTTCGAAGTTGGATTATGTTATTCCCGTCTTTATTAAGCGTTTTGAATTTACAATTCGTTAGCGGAACACATACGTGGTTAGGCTCGCACGAAACTTGCACTGGTTTATTTGTATTTTGTTGGCATGTTCCAGTAGATGAAAGGTTTGAGGTGAATGTTTCGAATAGAGCTCTTAACTGCTCAACCTGCTGTGCAGTGGGTGTCAAGATACTTCTTATTTTTGCTTGCAATTCAACTTTGAGAGCGTCTTCCGAACTCTGTGGTTTGTTATCTTGAGCCGCAGTTGCGAAGCTAAGTAGCAGGACAACTGCTATCAAACGAAATATCTGCTGCATTTTGACACCTGCAATGATAGAAATGTTTTTAATAAATGAATGTTAAACCATATTAGCGCTTTTATTGCCTACCCAAAGTTTTTCTAAAACTGCAGTATCTAAAAAAACTTCAGTGATTAATTATTACGAATATTTCAACTTTTAACTCTGGACTTCGAGGCAAATAATATGCACCAAACGGTTGTCTGACATCTCAGACTATACTAACTGAAATGTGTGCTGGCTTCCACTTAAATATTCGCGATGACAAGAGATGTATACAGTCATAAATGACAGCGCATAAACGGCGATAACCTCTGCTCTTTCATTTGCCTATATATACTCTCGTATATATATTTATGTTTATCATACGTATTAATCTTTTAGTTTCCACAATATGCTTCATATTAGCAGAATATGTTGCCTGAAATACAAAGATATAGAGAGCAAAGAAATGAGAATGCAGCATGGCAAAACAGAGTAAACAAAACGCTACAATTAAAATAAATGTTTGCTTATATTTAAAATGAATAATAGTAAATATATACATACAATTTTTATATTATTGTATACTTAAATTTCTATAGCAAAAATAAATGTAAAGAGCATCACAACTTCAATAATAATTTATACTCGTATATCGCAACAACTAAGAAGTCACAAAGCAAAACAATTAGCCACAAGTGTTGTGTGTTATTGACAATTAAGTCAACAAATTGGTGTAACCAGTGTAACATATGTGAGCAAATGAGTTCTGAACAAGCATAATGACAAGATATAGTTTTTCCCAGGCTCCACAATTAAGCATTAATAGAAGGCATATATATTATATATTATGCATTTATTAACTGCAGATGCGCCACGAGCTCACTTGAAGTTATATATAAATATAAAAAATATATTATTTAATATATATTAAATATAAAGTTCAAATAAATATATTTCGTAAGCATATATACATATAAATACATATATGTATGTAGTTTTAATATTGTTACAAATTAAATATTTTGCTATAACCATAAGTTAGTATGTATTTTTAAAATATTGTGAGATACAAATATTTATATTATTATCAGTTTATATATTTTTAATTACATTTTAGATTAATTCTTAGTAATTCTTAAGCTTCGCTTTGCTGCACATATTTTCGTTTTCAAACGAGTTTTTCAGCTTATGCAGCAAAACGAACGGTACTCTTTGAATGTTCGAGTTTTTCAGGCTTTCTTAGCTGAATAAATGGTTCAATTTTTATTATTGGTTATTCAAGTGTGAGTGAAAAACCTGCTGCTTCTGTATTCATTAGCAATAATTACTAAGTCCTTAGTTTTCATTAAAAAATATGTTTTGTAACATAAACGAGCATTGTGCAGTCGCTGACGGCCGCCTGAAATATTTTTGCTTATTGTTGATTTCAACTTGTGTTATTCATTAAAGTCTCGTTATACCGCTTATCATGTGAGCAAAATGAATGGAATTCCACTTAACTCTTAATTACATGTTTTTAAACTGACTTCAAAACCTTGGTTAAATAACTGCCGTTTATTGAAGTTTACTTTGTAAAAAACTCTTTGCTAACTGCAATTGGTTCGCAGTGGTCTGGGCGTTGGGGTCTGTCAGCTGCCCTCTGATGTTTGAGTTATTCGAGGTGGGACAGGATGGCAGGGGCGTGGCCTGTGTGCTGTCCAGTGCAATTTGAGCAGACGTTTTCTAATAAACATTAAGTTGACATGAGAAACACACCAAACAAATGAAGCAAATGCATTTCATGCTTTGGCCATGTTGACGCCCCGGGGCGGCTACTGGTTGTGAGTGAACAGAGATGGACCAGCGGCGGAGGTGGCGGTGATGGGGGCGTGCCATCTGGTTACTAATGCTGCGCTCCTTTCTCTTTTTTTTCGCGTTTCGTTTTTCATTGCCGGCTTTCAGCGCTTGCACCGCAGGATATGTTTACAAATTGAAAAATATAGCAAGCGACCGCCAGAACGTGCTAAAAAGGGCAGCGCACAGTGATGCGAAAGCTATAGAAAAATACTTAAGCAAGGGAATTGACTGATAAATATATATTTTAATATTATTAAAATAAGTTTAGGTTTCGTTAAGTATACTTTACAATATATAAATCTTTAAATTTATAATGTATTCATTTTGCGATAATTACACCACTGTGCGTGCCAGAAAAAAATGCAGTTGCTGCATGGGTCAGTTGGTGAAACATAGGTTGGGCATTTCCAGGCACCGAGTGGACAGCGCGGCAGGCAACGTACCGAGCGTTGCTACACGAACTGATACTGCAAAGCATATATACAATCTTATACACAGCTATATAGAGCAGTATATATATATATATACGTTTTTGCGGCACAAAGTGGCTGGAGCAGCGTAAATCTGACATGAAACATTTGCGTGACAAGCAAAATGCTGGCGCCCGTTATCCCTAGTCCAGTTTGCAGTTGGCTGTGCTACCACCAAGGACCTGCACTGAATGCACAGAAAAATAATTATGGCGCAAATCATAATAATGCAGCTACCCAAATAGCAACATGCATGCAAGTAGTTCGCTGTCCGAATACTCTGCCAGCTATTTATATACACAATTTTCTTATCAGGCATGCGCGTTGCGTAGATGGAAAGCTCATTATTGACGATGGAGGCGAGACTTTATCTTTAAGTTCATCCCTGAACATCCCACAATCTCATAATTCATAATATAAATATAAATTCAACATCTTCGACAGTCTATCAGATAATTATTCATCTATATATATATAATCTGTCAATATATCAATCAAAGCATTATTTAATGGTAGAAACCTCTATAAATTTAAATATATTTATTAAACAATTCTAATATATTTTATTTTTAAACGCTCTCAAATTAGAGCAACGATTGGGTTATTTCAATCATCATCATTCAACAACTGGCGCCATATGCCCAGCTTTAAGCAGTGTATAAGGATGCCTTTAAATTAAAACGGAACACAGACGCCGGCGACTACAAAGGGGGACAATGTCAGCAGCCTGAAAATTAGCCCGCGGCCAACAAGGAGTTGCAGTTGAGTTGAGTTGTGCAGTCTGAGCAGTGAGCAGCGCTCCCTCATGGCATTGAGACTCTGAGAAGATGAGGATGCGCATATAAATGCCAGTTTCTCATATATTTGCCATTTGCTTGATGCGAACAAATTAACTCTCAAAAGGCAAACAGCAAACAACCTGACCAAATGATTTGCAATGTCAAATTGACAATTAGATTTGTCTGTCGCTCACAGACACGTGCTCTCTCTCCCTCTCTTTCTCTCTCTCTCTCTCGCTAAATGTGTTTCTATATATCCGACTCGAATGATCTTCACTTTTCCACCCGCTGTTGGCTGTCAGCCTGTTGCGAAAATGTTGACAGCATTGAAATCAAAATGTTGACAACAACTGAGCGGAGCGACAGCGCAGACGAATGCCGTTGGCAATAAACTCCTGACTGCTGCTGCTACTCTGATGAGCAGCCCGATAAGAGCTTGGCGGTTGACAGCGGGGTATGCACGTTGTCATCGTGTACATAAATGTCATCTTTGAATCATTTGACAGTTGCACTGACTTCGATTAGGGCGTGATTTGAATGGGAAATTAGCGAAATGTCGTTAGTCGCTCGCAGCTCACTGCGCTCCTTGCCACATTTTTCCGTTTGTGTGAATGATGACAAATTTAATTATGCCAAATGCTCCACTCCACACAACAACTGGCTACGTCTAATGAGATGCAAATGGAAACACGTTGAGTTTAAATAGAAATTTTAGCCATAAGAACTTGGGAATAAAACAGCTTGCGCTTACCATGATAACTATAGCTATCACGATCATTGCTAGTGTACCTAGAGCTAGGCCACTGATGCATCAGCTATGAGCTCATTCTAAGACCAGAAACTGCTGCAAATGAATGCCTGAAGCTCTGTAGAAACTCAATGAAGACTTACCCCAGTCAGGATCGCGCTCAGATTATTATTCTTATTCAAATTATTATTCTTTTCGTGTAAGCAAGCTCCAACCGAGTTAGGCAGTAAGCGAAGTGAGCTTCAGAGACCCTTCATCATGAGTCCAGTGCAGGTCCGATTCAGCAGGTGTATTTAGAATATTGCACAAATGGATTATATTCGAGGCTTTGACTGCATTAAACGAATAGTTCAGCCTGTTAGTGAGAGTAAACTATAGAGCAGAAGAAGGAAATTAAATGAAATGGCTGAGCTGCTGTATCTAGCCGTTTCCAAGCTCATTCTCCTCTCATTATTGTTTTCAAATAAGAATCACACAAAACCCTGCATATTTGTTTGACTCTAAACAAACTTGCTGGCTGTGCCATCTTCTAGCTGCAGAACTTTATCTCCAGCTTCCCACTGCCGCAGACTCCTTTAGGATTGCCATAACTTGATAACAAGCCAAGGACCACTAGAACTTTACTTTACACTGAATTCCACTTTAAAAATGTTAGAAACAATTGCAGAATATAAAGAAATCATCAAGTTATATTATCGTTCGATGCTATAAATTGTATGCGCTGTGAGAGCCAAAGCAAATTCAAGTGGCGAATGCTTTGGTTCTCATTGGCGCCGGTGCCGCCGCCGCTGCCGCTGCCGCTGCTGGCGGCTGAATTGCCTCCGTCCCAACCAGAGTGCAACCCCAGCCACCTTCCAGCCGTTGTCTGTGCGGGCAATGAGTGCTTCCTGTTTCCGGCGTCTCAACTGTCTGGCAGTAACAACTGTAAGCAACTATAACTGTCGGCAAGTTGGCTTTATTATTTCCACACTGTTGAATATGCATATAGATGGGACGAGTGCCCGAAGGGCATAGCGAAGAGGGGCAGTGGTGCTTAACAGGGGATAGTGTGGACTTTGTTTTGCTTTGATGACTAGCATGCCCTTTGGCTCTTTGTGGCTGCCAATAGTCGGAGAAAAAGGGTTCTCTGTTCAGTTCTAGGCGGGTGCATTATCACTACAACGGGGCCAAGTAAAATATTGTGGGGTGTATTAAATATTTCGACTCCTGCCAGCAGCAGCAGAATGCTGGTACAAGGACGTGCTGGCTCCTTGTCCTGGCGAGGCAGCCAAGCAGCAAACTATGTGGGCCCGAGTTGAGGCTGCGGCTCACGCTGCAGCTGCAACTGATCCTTTGTCTGCATTTTATATTAAACTATTTGCTGCTACTGCTGTTGCTGCTGCAGCTTCTGCTG